GCTACGCACCACGGCAGGAGCTCAAACACGGGACTGTTACGGGTGCGGAACACAGCGATGACCGTCTGGCTCCTGGGAATGTCGGCGTGTCCTGCGGGAGGGAGCGAGGAGCAGTGAGGCTTTTCCCTGGTCTGAGGGACAGTGGGGGGTGCACAGATGGGCCCCTCGACACCAGACCAGGGACATGGAGGTCAGATTTTTGTGGGGAGCAGCTGGGCAATGTGGAGACCAGGGCAGACAGCCACCGTGGTGGGGGAAAGCTGGCTGCAGATCACGTTTTCCTCGCACCAAGGTGTGCAGGATCCCAGGACGGGGCTTTTAAAAGACCCCTTTGGTGATTTAAAGCCGGCTCTGAGGTCTTGGGTAGGCAGGTTTGGCTGAGAAGGGTTTAAGCAACAGATGAGGTGACTCCTTTGGCAACACCCCGACCTGTAAGGTGTGACGCGGGGGCCCTGTCCCTCCAATGCGAAGGTTATTTTCCATTTTATTGCACTTTCTGCACCGAGATCCTCACAGGACCTCCCTGGAGGTGCAGAGGACAGGGGGGTGCCAGCTATGGGAGTCCTGCTACCATCAGGTTTTCCCCCAATCTAGTTTTTCCCCACTCAGTTTTAAGCACATAAACCCCCGCCCCGAGTTTAGGCGCAGCAGCTTCAGCTGCTTCCCCGCTGCTGACACGCAGGGAGGGAGCCCGAGGCAGCAGCATCCCCAGCACCGTGTTTCAGGGCTCCCTTAAAGATCTGCTTTGTCTCCTGGCTGCAGCCCGGAGAACCTGAATGGCTCCATTATCCCAGGGGCTGCTGCTAAAAACAGAGCCAAGAGGGCTCTGTTGGGCTCTGGACGTAGTGTGGGTGCTGTGGGAACATGGAGATATTGCAGGGGGTTTGGAGAGGTGATTCATCTGACTGGAAGTGGGGAGGGAACTTGGATGCATCGCTCTCTGAAGGATACGGAGGAGTGGAGTCATGGTGAGGAAGGATGGAGGGTGGGTGATGCCTTCCCGACCTGACTCCTTGCCCCAGCAGGGTCTGTGCCCCTTCTGCCTGCTGGAAGGAGGATTTTCAGGCAGAGCCCGGTGCTGGGACAGGCAGGGGGGAGGCAGCATCTCCCTCTTACCTCTGATGATCACCGCGAGTCTCTCACCGGTGGGGTCCCACACCATGGAGTGCACTTCTCAAGTGCACTTCTCAAGATGGCACTTGGTGCCATCTCAAGGCACATCAAGGATAAGGGAGTCATTAGGGACTCAATGAGATCCCCCCATCTCCTCCAGCCAACGTCCCCAGTTCTGGGGGGATTGCTGCTGAGGGGGGCATGGACCCCTTCCACCTTCCAGGCGTCACAGCCAGACCCACCTCTCCTCCCCGTAGAGCGTCTCGAAGGTGGTCTCAGACAGATCTGCCACGATAGAAGCTGTTTTCGAGCCCCCCACTTGCCCTTGCATCTCCCCTGAAACAAACAGCCTGGTCACTTCTCACCTCCTGCTCGAATTACTACATGGGTCACCTTGCTCTGTAAATCACACTTTCATCTCCAAAGTGATATAAAATTTATCTCTGTTTCCTAGAGCAGCTGTGGAGCAACGCGCTGCTGGCCCAGAAGCATCTGCTTATGTCTGGGAGGGAAGAGAGGGGAGGTTTCTCCTCAACAAACATCAAGACCAGCCACCTCCATAGAAAAAAAAAGCCACATGAGTCGGGCATCTCACAGAATCCCAGAACTGCCTGGATTGGAAAAGACCTTTAAGCTCAAGCCCAACCATGAACCCAACACTGACCAGTCCCCTATGACTAACCCATGTCCCTCAGCACTGTGTCTACACGACTCTTCAATCCCTCCAGGGATGGGGACTCCACCACTGCCCTGGGCAACCCCTTCCAATGCCTCAGAACCCTTGCAGCAAAGAAATTCTTCCTCACATCCCATCTCAACTGCCCTGGCCACAACTGGAGCCCATTTCCTCTTGTCCTGTCCCTTGGTCCTTGGTTGAACAGACCCACCCCCACCTCTCTCCACCCTCCTTGCAGGGACTTGGACAGAGCCAGAAGGTCTCCCCTCAGCCTCCTTTTCTCCAGGCTCAACACCCCCAGTTCCCTCAGCCACAAGGGAACTCAGCACACTTGTGCTCCAGTGTCTTCACCTACTGTAAAAGTTTCCCTGGAAATCATTTGTAACTAAAATCAGAACTGGGAGAAAGAATCAATATGAAGGGGGGAAAAATTCGACCCCACAGAGATTCTGTGCTCTGAGAGACCCCTGAGACACCCTCCCCACTGCGTGTGCTGGGTTTGCCTCTGTCCTGTCACGCCCAGCAAGCTGGGAACTGCGGCTAAGAAACAAAAAGCCCGTCTGGCCAAGCCCAGCTGTTGCCAAAAGCCAGGAGATCATTTGGGGATCAGCCGCTGGCTCTTGGAAAGCTTAACCTCAGCAGCCAGCTTGGAAAACTCACCCCGGTACTCTGAGAAGGACAAGGAGTAGATGACGGACTCGCCCAGCACCGTGAAGAGCAATCGGCTGCCGTCAGGGCTCCAGCACCCCGTCTGTGGGACACAGAGCCACGTTAACACCCACTACCCAGGCCGGGGAGGTGGCAGCTTGCAAGGGATGTTCTGGAGCCAGCTGGAAATGGGGGAGTTTTACTAAAACACCATAACACACCCCCAAGGGCCTTAAGAGCAACATCTGCCCCGCACGAGTGGGAAATGCCCCCATCCTACCTGGCAGCGTCCTTTGATGGTGGGCCACCGCTCACACGTCCACATCTGAGCCTCCCACACTCTGGAACAGAGACAGGGTGAAGTCAGCAGGATAAATTCCTGGGATCAACCCCAATTCTGCTGCTCCAGGAGGAATCCAGGATGTCAGACCCGAGCACCCACCCGTTTTCTTCCTGTCACATCAGATGCAATAGGAACAGGAAGGGTTAGGACACACAGAACCCAAATCTACTTTTGTAGCAAGAGAAAAAGCTAAAAAGGGCTGAAATAAAACATCTCCCAGGGAGAGAGCTCACCTGAACACTGCAGAGGGAGCTCACCTGAACACTGCAGAGGGAGCTCACCTGAACACGGCGGAGGGAGCTCACCTGAACACGGCGGAGGGAGCTCACCTGAACACGGCGGAGGGAGTGGCTGCCAGGACCTTGCTGCCATCCGGT